TTAAGCATGTCATACGAGTCATCACTAAAAATTGCACTTACCAGAATCATTGGCTCAATTGAATCAAATGGTTCAGTATATCGGGTAACTCCATGTACATATAGTATTTTAATAAAAGGTTCTTTCTTTTGAAACTAGACTAGAAGATTTGTAAATAATTTAATTGCTATTTATTAATAGAAAATTTCATATTTACTTGATTGTGAAAAGAAATCTACGGATATGTCTGTCATGCACTCAAGGCGTTTCCGTTGCTGAAAATTAAACCATACTAAAATTATTACCTTAATTAAAATAATAAATATTGTTTATTGCAAGAATTATAGCTATTACCGGGATTTAATACTTATCTCAAATCGATTTCCAACCTAACCTTTTGACATTTACAAAGCTACTACACCGGTAGGCCCTATTTCACTCGATTATACATGGTTTCATTATCTCGATAAGCGGCCCATTATTCATGAAACAACAGCAAAAGCGTACAAAGGTCGACTACTAAATTCATTGTTCGACACAAATTCTACACTTTACATACTTAGATGTAATAGATAAAACATTACGACCTTGAATCAGAACTGTTATTTACTACTACTCGTAAATTGGATAGTTGACAACCTATAAAGTAATGATTTCTTATATTTACGCGAACACTAAACATTTAATAAAAACTACTTTTACGGATTTTATCGCGTTTAATTTATCTTGTTTTTTATTTATTCCCGAAGTTTCGGGTACTTTACAGCACTCATGGTCACGGGGGACTGAGGTGATTGACGTCCCGTTGTCAGAGTTAACCCGGAGTACCTTCAGCTTATTTCTTCTTTCTTTTTTCACCATTATTAATTTTGATCCGATCTAAACAAATGCAAACGTCGATAAAATCCGTAAAAGTAGTTTTATTCAACTTATAAAGTACAGGTATATCTATATCTATACATATTAATAAAGTGTATGTCTGCAATATCTAAATAGCTCGACCTCGGGGGGTTTTGTACATACCTTAATGGCATGATTAAACATTTTTAAATTTTTTAGTCTGTCTGTTTGTCTATCTGTCCAGGATAAAAGACTCGGTGATTCTTTTGAAATTAAATAAATTATAAAATAAATGGTCTTTGACGATTATCTTAAAACTTGATGACCTCACATTACCTAATAGATCCAATCTTATAGCATAGGCTTCACCTGAACCGAGTCGGGTCGCTCGGTTTATTTTATAAAAACTTAATAAACTTTAATTAACTTATAAAAGTCTCCGAAGATATCCCGGACGTCAGTCTGAGCGAGATTAGAATGGCTCTCCAGCACCTTAAAAACGGTAAGGCCCCAGGCGAGGATGGAATTACAGCGGAGCTTCTGAAAGCGGGTGGAAGACCGGTACTTGAAGTCCTTCAGAAGCTCTTTAATTCCGTCCTCCATGGTGGCATTACACCGGAGGCGTGGAGCAGAAGTGCGGTGGTCTTGTTCTTCAAGAAAGGTGACAACGCTCTCTTGAAGAACTACAGACCGATTTCCCTTCTGAGCCGCGTCTACGTGCTGTTTTCGAGAGTCATTACGAATCGTCTCGCGCGCAGACTTGACGACTTCCAGCCTCCCGAACAAGCCGGTTTCCGAAAGGGCTTTAGCACCATAGACCACATACATACCCTTCGGCAAGTTGTACAGAAGTCCGAAGAGTACAATTTGCCACTATGTCTGGCGTATGTGGACTATGAGAAAGCCTTTGATTCCGTCGAAATTTGGGCGGTGCTGCAGTCCCTTCAGCGGTGCCAAGTTGACTGTCGGTATATCGAAGTGTTGAAGTGCTTGTACAGTAGGGCTACGATGGCTATCCGAGTACAGAACCGGAGTACGAAACCTATCCAATTGCAGAGAGGTGTAAGACAGGGTGACGTCATATCCCCGAAACTCTTCACCGCTGCATTGGAAGACGTTTTCAAGCTTCTGGACTGGAAAGGGTACGGTATCAACATCAATGGCGAGTACATCACTCACCTTCGATTTGCCGACGATATAGTCCTTATGGCAGAATCGCTGGAGGGCCTAAGCACTATGCTCAATGACCTCAATAGTGTTTCCCAACGGATAGGTCTTAAGATGAACATGGACAAAACAAAGATCATGTTTAATGTCCATGTCACACCTATGCCGGTAGTTGTTGGGAGTACTAAGCTCGAAGTTGTTGACGAGTATGTTTACCTGGGACAAATAGTCCGACTAGGTAAGTCCAACTTCGACCGAGAGGTCAATCGACGGATTCAACTCGGCTGGGCAGCGTTCGGGAAGCTACGACACATCTTCTCGTCAGACATACCTCAAAACCTTAAAACGAAATTGTACAACCAGTGCGTGTTGCCAGTGATGACTTACGGAACTGAGACGTGGTCCTTCACTGCTGGCCGTATGAGGAAGCTCAAGGTCGCTCAGCGAGCTATGGAGAGGGCTATGCTCGGAGTTTCTCTGCGTGATAAACTTAGGAATGAGGATATCCGCAGTAGAACCAGAGTAACCGACATAGCCCAACGGATTAGTAAGCTGAAGTGGCAGTGGGCCGGCCATATAGCTCGAAGAACCGACAACCGATGGGGAAGAAAGGTTCTCGAGTGGCAGCCTCGTACCGGTAGGCGAAGTGTAGGGCGTCCCCCCACGAGATGGAGTGACGACCTGGTAAGACATGCAGGAAGTCGATGGATGCAGGTGGCTCAGGACCGTGCTTTGTGGCATTCTTTGGGGGAGGCCTATGTTCAGCAGTGGACTTGTGAAGGGCTGTAATGATGATGATGATGAACTTATAAAAAATAAAAATAAAAATTCTTCCCAGGCCTGAGGATTTTTTTCGAACCAGTGGTAAAATAAAAAAATGACTTTCAATAACAATTACTTGTAACCAATTTTGAATAAAAAAATATTCTATTCTCTTCTAACGATTTCATATAATTTGAACTTACTGCTTTTGGGACCTATAATTAAAATTTGTCGATTTTCCATTTTAAATTAGTCGAATTGGCTTTTTCGAATTTATTTTAAAATATTCTAAAGAATGATTATTTGACTACAATTAACCATAACGTATACACTGTATTGTCATACAATTTCCAAATACCCAATTAATAAGTGTTGCATACCAAGCCAATAAAAGAAAGATAATGATTATAGTATATTTTAATACTTTTATTTTAAAAATGGGAGCCTATTTCTTAGGCGGTTACATTACTTTTATTGGTTTTAACTTTTTTGTGCTGAACCCTAATTCCTTTCGTAAAATAAAAATAGCCGAAGTTACTCCTTATATCATAAGCTATATGCCAATGAAAGTCCCGTCAAAATCGGTCCAGCCATTTCGGAGATTAGCCAGAACGAATAGACATACAGACAGATAAGACAGACAGACAGACAGACAGACAAAAATGATAAAAATTGATTTTTTATTATTAGTAACGTATATACTTTCATATGAATTTAGCAAAAAGCTGTTACTTTGACATTACAAACAGTCATTTGTATTTATTTGTAAATTATAAACTGGCTGAATTGAATAGTGAAACATACAACTATTTTTATTCATAGATACAATTGAAAATTTAATTTGTTTATATAATATTTTATCCTACGAATATATTTTATATTATTGTTAAAAAAATCAGCCTCAAGTTAAATAAAGTTAATTAAAGCCTATATACACAACACTTGCTCTATGCTCAAGTCTTAATTTACGAATATTAATAATAATAATTCAGTGACGCGCGGTACCACGTGCATGTTGGCGGACTTCACATGTCGTCGAAATATATTTATTTCTTAAATATCCTTACGATAATTTCTTCTACGTTAAACACGTTGTATTATTGTATTTTATTCAATTCCGTAATTGAGCAATAGTAGTAGATAATATTTTGTCTGTCTCACGAGAACTAACCAACAGATCGGCCGCACAGGATGTTCACGCAGGAAAAAATTAAATATTGAACAGGAAATTGGGATCCGGACCACATATAAGTAGCAAAAAGGCTGTTCCTACCATAATAAGTTGTTAAGCAAACATGTCTTTAATAATATAAGAGTTTAAAATATTGTCATGTCGTGTAATGAAGTCATGAACTTTTTGTATTATCACCGGTTCGTAATAGATCAGCAAATATCAGATTATTCAGACATGCTATAGGGGGTGAAAACTGTATTATTATATCTCATTACATTTATATACATACATACATGCACATAGGTTAAGCTAGCTAGCGTGCTTAAATAATTTCGTGGTAATAAAATTATAATATATGTAATAATTTATGATTTTTTATTAGGTACTTAATTGGTTTAATGGGCCAATAAAAATGTATTAATTCTTACAAACCACTCCATTTATAGTTTAATAATTATCAGGCAAATAGCCTACACACAATTTTTTGTTATGGAATAACGATGACAGACGAGCACACGATCCACCTGATGACAAGTGGATCCAGTGGCCCATAGATATCTATATCTATCCTCGATTATGAATCAAAATGCAGAACCGTTGTCACCCCTGAGGACTAAGATGGAAAGTCTCATTTCCAGTAAAAAGTGTATCCGGTTCTCTACACTCAATACGAAACAAAACAATAAGCTGCTATTTTACGCTGGTATTCCGTGAGAGCATAGTCCTTCCCTGGTCAAGTACTACAACAATAATATAGCTCCACCACCAAGAAATTTATTTTGAGTTAAGTTTCTAATATAACTGAATTATGGATATTGTTAAGGAGGATATCCATAGAATTATAATAATAATTATGACAATAAAGTTACAAGTGAAGTTACAAACGTATATGTACTGTGTCACTGCTGGCCACATGCCTCTGAGAAGTGAGAACTTCTAAGAGGGTTTTAGAATAAAAAGTATCCGTCGTGCTGTACAATTTCGTTTGTTCCGTTGGGGATAGAACCCGAGTTGCTCGCGTACTGTGCAATTTACAACTGTGTTATAAGTAAAGTGTATATTATTATTATTGATGTAGTTACTTTCATCGGATGAATGGTTTCGGAGTGGAGCCACGTGCTGCGCCACCATCACCTGTGCAAACAGACGCTGGTGAGGTGCCACTAGGAGGACTCTTCGATAAGCTGACCACGCAACAAGGTGGACCAATGAGACTGCCAGCCTTCCCTCCCATGTTGGATATGAGCTCAACTAAGGTAAGTCGAATTACAAAGTAAAATAATTATTTAAATTGTTCAAATGTATAATTTTTATAGTATAAGGGTAACAAACGAGCATACAGTTCACCTGATGGTAGGTGGTTGCTGTGGCTGATAGACGTATACATCTATCCTCGATTAGGAATCAAAAAGCATATGCATTATCACTCATAAGGACTAAAATAGAATGCCTCGTTTCCAGTAAAAAGGGGTCTCCGGTTCTCTACACGCACCATACGAAACAAAGCAGCGTTGAGCTGCTATTTTACGTCGGTATTCTGTAAGAGCGTGGTCCTTACCCGGTCGAGCCGACCCATTCGTGCTCCAACTATACTACTAATATAGCTGCAGCATGGCTCTACCACGTAAAACTACGTTTTACATTTTAGGTGATGCGTTGTCACCCCTGCCTTCTTTGTTAGAAGTTGGTTGCAGGTTATTGATGTTCTGCAATTGCCACTTATCAAAGGGTAGGTTGCTAGTTCAGTTGCTGTTCAGGTAACATTAAAACATAGGGGTTTTTGAGCATTTTTTAAGTCATCTCTTACGTCAACTTTAAGTTCAAATGAAGTTCTATTACATTGCCTTTTATATTATATTGTTTTTACTAAGCCACTTTCTTGTTTGTCTGTCTGTCTCTCGTTCCGGATAGAAATTTATAACTCAAATTTCGAGCACTTCCCGATGTGAAATTTTGAACATAGCGCAGAATCAGATGATAAAGGTAGTTATATTAAATTTTTTGAGTACAATATTAAAAAAAAAGTCATGTGCTTACTATACTATAATATAGTGTATATACTATACTACTTTTTATAATAAGCTTCGGCGGCTTCAAAATTTCTGTACAAGATTTATGTATTAATTTATGTACAAGGTTTACGCAAGTATCATCACGTTTCACATTTACGTACTAAGCTCAAGTAGCTGCCAATACGCCTTAGCTGGAATGTTCATATTTTATCTCTTCTTTACTGCGTTATGTTTAATCTCTCTTATCCTTTTCCTAAAATACTCCTTTTTCTTTGCGATTCATACTCAAGTACTTTGATATCATCAGACCCATGTCCAGCTGCGGACTTTTATGAATCCTCTAAGATAGAGAAAAGGAAGTTTAAATGTGTATTATGACAATAATATGTAGGTTATTTTAAAGTGTTTAGTTAAAGCTAAAAATTAAACAAGTGTGCTTAAATAAAAGTGGCAGTCAACCATTGTGCGAGTTAGTAGAAATTTTGTTCTTCGCGCAACTTACTTAAGGAATCGAGAAACACCAGCGATTTTTTCGAACCGATACGACTTAGGGTTTTCAAGAAAAGAATATGGCAACACTTCTATATAATTTCCATGGTATTGCAGTTTTTCATGGGTAACGGTAATCACTTTACCATCAGGGGAGCTGCATGTGTGTTTGCCCCCTCTTCTATAAAGAAAAAAGTAAAGTGTGAAGTTACATACGTGCCACTGCTGGACTTAGTCCTCCACCTATTTCTTAGAGGGTTATCGAGCAATGAATCCAACGTGCCGTTGAAGCACATGTTGACAAACTTCACATGCCTTTAAAATATTATTTTTCTCAAACATTCTGATTTCCTCACAATGTTTCCCTTCACCGCAATTTACTTCATTGACGGCAGCGGGGATTGAACCCAGGCTGCTCGCGTACCGTGTAATTTAAGGTGTTAAAGCACTACTTATATATTTCACTTTAATTAAAGACACTATTAATTATTATAAAGTACTTTTATCTTAATGCTATCCTCACAATAATTTTAAATAAATAAATATTAATGACGCGGTTTTCGTAACAGGAAGAGGCAACTTAAACTCTATGGGTCTCTACCAAAAGCATTGACGCTCAGTTTTATTTAACCTCATAAAAAAGAATACGTGACGCCAAGTCTTACTGAACTATTTTTCATTATTATGTCACTTTATTAGATACATCAATTTATTTTGTAAGTAACAGAACCACGCTGTAGCTATATTAAGGTTGCAGCACAAATGAGTTGGCATGACACCTGTTAAAGACCATGCTCTCATAGAACACTTAGTTTGGACATTGCGAAGGCCTTCGATCTGGTTTGGCACAAAGCGCTTCTTTCTAACCTCCCTTTCTATGGGCTTCCCGAGAAATTGTGCAATTGGATCAGCAGCTTCCTTGCAGATCGGAACATCAAGATCGTTGTAGACGGTGCATGCTCCAACTACAAGCCTATTAACGCTGGTGTTCCACAAGGCTGTGTGCTATCACCAATGCTGTTTCTTCTGCATATCAACGATATGTTGCTAACTGGTAACATTCATTGCTATGCGGATGACAGCACTAGTGATGCTCCGGCGATACACCGGCCGTGCCAATATTTCTCGGGAAAACGTCGCCGAGTACCGGAACAAACTTGTGTCTGAAGTCGAGTCTTTTCGAATCCACTTAAAATCAAATGGTTTGTGTGATCATTTGTCACCTTTAAAAAATACAATTACTGTAAACATGTAAATCAGTGACTGATATAATAGTGACAAGTTGAATTTATTATCTCAAAATTATTGACAAACAATCTAGAATAAAATAATCCCTTCTTTTTGTAGTCTTTTTCTACAAATCATTACTAAAAATTTAATGCTCATTTATTACGTTTTTATATCGTATTTTATTCAATATTTTCGTCCGTAACTTTTTTATATTATAATATATTTTTAAAATGAAATACCCGTGCTTATCATACATGTAAAGAACATGTGAACGAATGCTTCATATTTATTCGTTCATGTTAAAGGTACGAAAACCATATATAAGAAAAAAATTTAAAATTACTTTATGATTTCCGTTCATCGCTTCATAATTCACATCACTTAAAGCAACAACAATGCCCATATGAAATAATTTACGCTCAGCTGCTTTTTCATTTCATAAGAACGTCTTTAAAATTTATATTAATTATTTATGCAAGTGCTCACTGACCTTCCTGTTTTAATTACACGTCAGTGCGCCATTTCATAGTTCACGGCTGTGATTAAAGTGTCTCGGAGCATCGTAAAATTCATAAGGCGCTATCGCACGGGCATCGCCGCTGACCGCGCTTCGTTATGTTAATTCCAACCTCTTTAAAATCATAACGCGCAATGAGCACCGCGCTTCCTTTCCAACTGTAATGAACACAATTAAATCTGATAAAGCCTACGACCTTTACACTTCCTCCACTATTGTGCAGATAAAACAGAGAGAGTGTTAATTGGAAGGCGGTCGTTACCGTTGGCGCGCGCGCACAATCAGCAGGATTATATTATTATAGTGTAAGGCTGCCTCAGACGGTGCCCAGCGAACCGTTTCAACTCTCCACTGTAGAATGAACTGGAGCTGCACTAATTGGTAGAGGCACGCGCGGAGCACGCGCCCCGCGACACGCTACTGATGAGATGTAAAATTAAAGAAGCATCGTTCGTCTTATAATGACTTTACGCGTTACAAGCGCGAAAAAATTGCAGTATAGAAATTTTAACACTTTATTGATTTCCAACTTTCTAAGTAAATCGCCCCGAGATGAAATCAAGGTGATGGTTATCTGATTTTCAAAGACCGCAAGTGCTCGGGGCGTAGTACCTGTATCAACAATCGCCTATACCACTCTAACATTCCATTATTCCCCTGATAATGCTAGTAAACGCATTCGCTATTTACTTTCTAAATTCGATAGCATCCGAGTGCAATATAAACATGATTTGTTACATTTCTCCTTTGCCCTTGTTCAGTCTATAAATAGTCGTTTTAAATTTATTTTCACCTATAAAGTGAAACGGGAGCGATGCGGAAATAAATTCTAAGATTAATGGCGGCACCTCTGCCTCGGTGTAGGCGCGGCCGGGGCGGCGCACGCGCGCGCATCCGTGTTCATTTCACGCGCGCGCGCCTCTGTCTGAATTTTACTCGAAATTAGACCGCGTTCGCCTTTTTTAGTGCGCTCGGCAATTAAAAAAGATAGATTGCGACTTGACCCGCGGGCGGCGAGCGTGTCGGCTGAACGTTATTATGATGAATGCTCGCCACTTACGAATGGTCTCAATCAGATAACGTGTCTCTGTACGTGTTTGTTTAGCGCTACCACTCTGCACCACTTGGCCGGCTACTGAGTAATTGAGTTTCAAAATGTCACAGGTCGAATCGCCGCGCCTTGGCTATTGTAAGCTCAATAGAATAACACTGAATTAACCGTGCCAAGAGGCTCATAAGTAACGTTTCACCAGTTAATGAAATAGAAACTCGTTGGCGGCAAATAAAGGGCAGTTTTCTTCTCGCTTAGGGAGTTCAGAACAGTATTCTGTTATGAATATTCTGGCTAACAAATAAATACACTTTTAAAAGGGGTTTTCTTCGGAAATGTATTCTTGCCTTGCTTTGCATAACACATGACGTGAATATAATTGTTGATTTTTTTACGTATATTCACAGAGAAAGGGTTAACGTATTATGTTTTTTTATAAAAAATACACGTGGTAGGACTCCTTATTTGTCTAGAAGTTCGTCTATGTAGATACTAACTTCTTACCTATTTCTTCCGCCAAGCAGCATTGCGTGCACAGCTATGTTCCGGTCTGCAGGATATAGAGAGTCAGTATAATTAGAGACTATGACGCATTCCATCTCAATCGTCAGAAGTGACAAGATAGTTAGCGTAGCTGTTTAGTCAAGCGCATTTTTGGAACGAAATTCCTTATCGGACGGTACGGGTTTAGCGGATGGGAGCTAGGCGACAAAAAGTAAGATTTTTTCGTCACTACCCATACATTGTGTCATAGTGTGAGACGGCCTTGGCGGCGAAATAAGGAAGTGAGATGGAATACTATCCATCTCCCTCGCACGTTTTCTTATCTTGCCATGAAAGAAATATTATTTTATTTTAATAGACGTTAGTAATTCATATATTTGTTTTTTTTATAGGATAGGGAGACAAACGAGCACGCATTCCACCTGATTGTAAGTGGATGCTGCGACCCATAGACACACCAATATAGCTGCTGTTTATTAATCAATAATATAATACCTACGTTTATCAATAATAATATACTACCCAAGGAACTTCGTTCCAACCGAGTTTTCCACGACACTCACGCATTTTTTTTTCTATATGGGTAACAGACAAGCACACAGTCCACCTGATGGTAAGCGGATGCTGAGGCCCATACACATCTACATTTTTTCTCAATTAAGAATCAAAATGCATATGCGCTGTCACCCCTGTGCACAATGGGTCTCCGGTTCTCTACACTCACCATACGAAGCACAGCTGCATTAAGCCGCCATTGCAAGCTGGTATTCTGTGAGAGCGTGGTCCTGCGCCGATCGAGCCGACCCAGTCTTGCTGCAACCATAATATCGCTGCATCGTGGCTCTACCAAATTACTTCAATATCACTTAATAATAGAAAAATAGACAATACTAACTGTCGAAAAATGTTGCATTCGCAAACAATAAGTTAAAGTTTTAATAAATAGTAAAACTTTCAATAACCAGAAAAATTTATGTTCTTCATAGCCATACAGAAGTTGTCTACGGCCGGAATTTTTAACTAAGAACCGGTTTAGCTTCACGATACAATATTACTATCATCTTATCTGTCATCTTATCGCAATATTGCCACCACGTGTACTTCAAAAGCACGTACTTCGCTAGTTACATATACGAGTAATACTCTTCTCACGCTTTGATATCTACTTCCCGATGCTGCTCATTGAATTAATTTAAAACGGGTGCTAGTTAACTGTTATTTGTAACAATTTTTCCACATTTTGCTTGGACATGTTGATATACTACGAGTAGATAGATTTTATATTACATTTCTCTTTATAAGATAAAATTAAACTTTTAATAAAATATAAATGGCTGCGAACAATTAATACCTAGTTTAAAACAATTTTCACCTTCTGGAGTCGGTGTTTAGACAGTGGATAAATACCCCGATTCGACTAATAAATATAACATACTCAAAATAACAACTTGAATGTCTTCTAAATAGTTGTATTAACATTTCAATTTCTTTGTTTCCACTCTATAAATTATATTTTTTAGTAGCACTTATTTAGTAAAGAATCTATTAAAATCAATTCAACCGTTTGCAAGCGGTCGGTTGTTGTTTTAACATATATTTAAACACTAAAACCATACACGACGAATGTTACTTCTTCATCTTTTTTGAACTCGGCCAAAAAAGAAAAACTAATATGATAAAAATGAATATCATCATCATCATCATTACAGCCTTATACAAGTCCACAACTGAACATAGGCCTCCCCCAATTAATGTCACGAAGCACGGTCGTGAGCCTCATATATACAACGACTTTTTCTTGCATGTCCTATAACGTGGTCGCTGGATCTAGTGGAGGGTTGCACTACACTCGCTTTGCACGAATGAAAAAATAGTGAAATAAGCCGAAATTATCAAAATAAAATCTTTACCTGCCTGAATGTACGTACGTACCACTAGTTGATTGCTACCATGCTTCTTTATATGTTCATATCTAATTGTATAAAATATTATATTATAATTTATATTTAAAAAAAGTTCTGTTGAGTTTCTTGGTCGTTCTTCCCAAGACAGAGGGTTTTCTCCGAATCAGTGGTAAAGCTCAAACGACTCAATGACTATTCTTGTAATTTATATTGAAATAAATTATATTCTATACTACCCACTGATTGGACACAGCCATTTGCAAGTATAACTTGCCAAGTGCAAGCTATACTGCAACTGACATTTATTTTTATCCTATCACTCAAAATTTAATGAAGCTACATAATTTGAACTATTCATCAGACACTATTGGCGATATCGCGGGTGGGACGCAGTGGGAGATCAAGACGCAAACGTGTCGGGATGGGTACGACGGCTGAACACTCCCCGTTGGATTTATCAGCAGCAAGCGAGAGTGCCGCGAAGAGAGCTCGCCTCTCAGCCAGCCCCAGTACCAGGAGCGATGGCGACGATCGGGACCGGGTCTCTAATGAAGGTAATACAAAAATTAATGTCTCAATAAATAAACATCAATTACAAACTATGTAAGGGTACTGCAGCTTATGTCGTCTTGAAATCTAAAATTCCTTCGTGTTTCAAATGTCAAAAACTTCCTCCTTTTACTTTTAACGCTAACAGCAAATTCTTCATGTCCACTTTTCAAGCAACGGCTAATCCAAACAAACAAGCATTTGCAATTTATTATGTACTAGCTGTTCCCTGCGATAACCCTTAAATAAAAACAGCCTAAGTTAGTCCCATCCAAAACGGCTCAAAGGTTTTTGCGTGATGCGTGTTCAGACACACGTGGTTTTTTATTCCGGCGTACTTAATATTTGTCGTTATATTTTAGCCGCTTTAGACAATATCTTCATTAATTATGGCTTATGTGGTATTCTGATGTATGAGCCATTAATTGTAAAGTTTTATTGAAATTAATTTAGTAGTTTTTGCGTGAAAGAGTAACAAACATCCATACCTTTTTCAAACTTTCACGTTTATAATATTAGTAGGATTAAATATAATTCTTCAGCTTTAAGAAAATTAAAAAATCTAATACCATACTAAATGAATTATTTATCCGTCGAATACATATTATAATCTGACAATTAGCTTAACAAAAAAGCATATTTACTCTTGCCTTGACGGTATATACATTGTAATCATATGGAAATCAAGATATAATTATACCTTTACTGTACGCCTCACAAACGACGAAGGAAACTGTTTGAATCTAATGCATACCGACAGTTAAAACATTGTTATTAGAGATCGAACCACCACCACCAAACGTCTTGTAGTGCGATTGTGAAAAGGAAGGAATTTGTCATGTAATTTCTGCGTTTCTCTCAAAATATATATAAAATAATAGTATCGCCACCTCGCGTATATATTTGTTTGAATATAGGATTCCCTTACTGTTTAAAATATCGTTTTATTAGGTACTATCTTACTTATCTTTGTCGACAAACTGCATTACGTCACTGATGTGGTACCGTTTGTTATGGTCATCCAGTACAATAATTACAGTAATTCCGTCTCAAACCTCAAAGTCAACAGGCAGAAGTGACAGAAGGTCGCATTAGACAGTTAGCATCATCATGGATTATTGCTTGTTTGTTCTTTTGAAGTTCTAAAATATATCACTTAACTCCTTTATTTACATAATTGAATATCATAAATATTCATAATGAATTATTCTACAATTTCCAAATTCAAATTTGGAAATTATTAATTCAATAGACATCAGTTTAACTTCTTGAAAGTTCCGTATTACAACAAATCTCATTATACTCCTTAATACCGCTTGAAAGATTTCAATCAAACTTCACAAGCAAAAAAAAAACTGATGTGTGACATAATCGTTAGATTGCTTTAACGTGTTAACAACATTTCAGCATTATATTTAATACTAAATAATCATAACGTTGACAGATTGAACAAATGTCAAGGCTAAGTGAAGTACCATATGGTAAATTGTTGAGTTAAGTCAAGCTCATAATTCATCCATTTTATAGTAAGTGGCCAATGCTGTAATAACACCTTATAATTTAATATAAAATAAAATTATCATATAGATAAGAATTAGAATTAGAATCTCTTTACCTACTAATAACAAAGAAAATAGAACTGGCCGGCACAACCATTAAATCAGAGAAAGAAAAAGTTAATAAATAATGAATTATATTTTTCTGGCAGATCGAAATGGCGGAGAATGCTTGTGTGCAGAAGCTCGAGCGCGACTGTCCGCATGGTCGGTGGATGACGTATACGATTTTGTCAGCTCCATCGATATCTGCGCTGAATACGCATCGGTAAGTGCACCGTATTTTATTATAATTGTCAAAACGTGACGAAAACGAGATGTCTGAAACTTATTATTCTACCTCGATTTTTGGTTTGGAAAGTTGAAATTTCTATAACCGTTTTATATTAATCTTAAACTCTATACATATTTGGATCCGTTTTGTTGTTATAATACTACTTTGTAAATTTAAGTCGGTCCGAACGCTGGGCACAAACATCCTTTCCCCCTTGATTTATAGAGCAATTTGTCCACCGCGCTATTCCTCAGGCATACAGGTTTTGTCGCGAATTTTCGGTAAATCAGCATTACTAATTTAATATAATCATTAGTGCCGACAGCGATCGAACATGGGTTGCTCGTGCACTGTGAAATTTACTTTGTATAAAGATGTGTAATCAAGGCATATAAAAAGGTCGTATAGCTATAAAATAATTAACGCAAGTAGCGACTGAGTAAGTTATGATGGAAAACGCTATATTACTTTCTTACGAAGCAATAAAGCACAGGAGTCATAAAAATCTATACAACTCATGCTCTTAATTAGCAGTAACATAGTTGTACTTCTGAATCGGAAACAGTAAACAGTATAGCGGCAGTTGCTATTAGGAATTGTTGAGTTCTTACAAACAGTTCAGCAAGGTCGTATTTTCAACGTCAATTAACAACTTTCATCTGTAGACTATAGACCAATCATAATTAACTACGGGCAATAAGTGATTTAATTTTCACGCAATGAAATCGTAAGCCGCCTGTGCAAATGGCGTCAGAAAGGGTTGGTTTATGATCTTGAGTAACCTATTACATATAGGTATATCGTTAGTTTTACGCCTAAAAGATTTGATCATTATAACTTGAATTAAATTAATGATTTCTTATATTTACGCGAACACTACACATTGAATAAAACTATTTTTACGGATTTTATCGCGTTTAATTAACTTATTTCATATTCCCGACGTTTCACGTGGTCACGGGGGACTGAGGTGATTGACGTCCCGATGTCAGAGTTAAACCGGAGTACCTTCAGCTTTTTTAATTAATAAAAATAAGTTAATTAAACGCGATAAAATCCGTAAAAATAGTTTTATTGAATTAAATTTATGCAAAAGCGTCTGTTATTATAAACTGAAGTGCGTGTATTTCAGAACTGGTTAACGTAACATACTTTTTCCTATAGTATAAGAAGTTGTGAGTAATTTTTACCTTCAAGCTTAATAATTTAAAACCACACATTCAACCATGTCACAACAATATAAGTATAAATTATTGCAGAATTACACAATCCACGATAAAATATATATTTTTAAAACGTCAAATTTAAAACGGAAATTCTATTCACTGGGGGATTTAAGCCAACAGGATTATTGTGTATCGCATTTTCCGCAACAACTCCGTCTTCACACAATTTTATTCGCCATCTTTTTCACAGAATATTGGTTTAACGTCATATCATTCGTTATTACGCGGTTATTGAACGGCACTAAATAACGATTCCTATTGGATATTAACAGTGATATTTATTATTCGACTTGCAGTTATAACGATCATAGATGTGTCGATCGCTACTGCGCTACTCGTTATAATCGATTTACTACTTATTCATTACAGATTAATAAATTTAAAATGAATAAAATGGTAGTTCCATTAATAAGTTAATATTTACTACGTGTTTCTCAATAATTCTCATATTTTATGTGGTGATGCCACAGCTTTATAATGACTGCAGTATGAATGGTTCGGTTTGCCCGGGGAAGAAATACGTCATCGTATCATGAAATACCAGCGTAAAATAGCAGCTCTTGTTGCTCTATAGTGACAAAAACTGGCCTTTTGTGGGAGAACTCCCGCCTGGCGAAATGTTCAGTCCACATACCGGTAAACTCTCCATGTTCGGAAACATTGATCGCGTGGCTTTGGTTGTTGGGCGGTCCATATATATGTATATATTCCGCCACACTGGTAAAGAAGCATTCCATCTTCGTTCTTAAAGTAACAACGCTTCTGTATTAAATACTTAGCATATCGCTGCACGGAGTGTATGGGACACATTATCCACTAACCATCAGGTGGACCGTGTAGTCGTTTGTCATTCTTACTTGTATATATAAAAAAATAAAGTTACCTTAAAGTTCCTTAATGGAAACAAATTATGGCATATAATTTAATATTATATTCTTACTTCAACAACTTTATCTTGAATTTTTTTGGTAAATAAATTAAATAAAGGACTTGTCCACCGAGTTTCAAAAAAGAAGGTTCTATATGTGATACACATATTTTTATGTATGTTCGTCGTTATGTCGGAAACGGCTGAACCCATACTAATGATTCTTAGTTATTAAAAAAGTTATTCTTCAAGAGTGGTTCGATTTAAATTTCAAGAAAAAATATTTATGAATGAATTATTTATGATCCTGCTTTTAAAAACGTATTTTTAAGCTTAACCGGTATTCTTTCCTTAGCGACCAAGAAGCAACAATCACACTTACGATCAGTAGACCTACGAAGTCAAGCCAAATATACTCTTGGTATTATAACAAGTACAGCGTGACGCGAATACCGCGATAATTGTATCCTACAAAACTTGCACAACTGAGAGCATAAAGGCGAGTATGGTGTCGCATACATTATGTAGACGTGAGGCAACCGGGATCGCAACGTGGGAAACGCGAAGATTTAAAATTTCCATAATATTTGTATCGCGAAATTGCACAATTGAAGTGAGCGGCCTGCATGCGAATTTTGAACGAGATATAGATTACGTACGGACGGTCAGCAAATATCTTATATAGTATAAATATATGCCGCTAATATTATGGCATGCTATTATTTTTATAAATAAGAAGTATTATTTATTGTATGTAATTATATGACCAAAACTTTATATAACTAATTATAACGTCAGATACGATTTTACTGGACGTGGTGAAGACTGGCAATTCAAGTTCAGTTTTGCTTGTCATGACAGTTTGCTAATCATGGTACTCCACAAGTGTTACCCAAATGCAAGAACAAGACGAGACTTAGCAAGTCTTGGTCTTGGTCTTGGTATTGCGCTCCCAGTCTTGGTCTTGGTCTTGGTCTTGGTCTTGGTCTTTCAGCAAGAGTCTCGCAAGTCTCGTAATGACCTATTAGCCTATTAGTATTTATTAAACGTTACTTTAGATCTTAGAACAACTTAACAGAGTATGTACATATTGAGCTTGAATTAACATAGCCATAGTAAAGACCAACCATATTAATATATATAATATATGTTTAATGAGAAATTCGAAAAATCAACTGACACCGGGTGGGGTTTGAACCCACGACCTAAGCGATCCGTGCCGATGCTCTAACCAACTGAGCTATCTACCGTGTCCCACGGCCACGGGCGTCGGTTTCTTAATAAACGTTTACATTTAATAAGCTTACATATGCTAAAACATGGTTAAACATAAATATAAAAACAAATTAATGGCAATAACTACACTGTATTTTAAATAACATTATCTCTCTAGAAAGAGATTGATGGACCCTCACCATATATGAAATGGAATAAAATAAAGTAAGATATTATCGCATATTAACAATTAAGCGCGATAAAATATTTAAAAGTAGTTTTATTCAATGTGCAGTATGCGCGTAAATATAATAAATCATTATCAAGTGAACTGTAGGTTCGTTTGTCACTTCAGTTTTATATTATAGATAATTATATTTATAAAAGGTTCACCGATCGTTAGAGCGGTATGTCACTCGCAAAAGTAGCGAGGATATCGCGTTTCTTCGTGATATTTATATCAAGGCAAGGGAGTCATAGCGAAATATGCGATAAATTAATCGGTACCAAGTACATAATTTCAATTTTCAGACGCTCAAATGATTAATACGGCGCTACCGTCTTTTCTAGTCGAAGTTACAGTTTACAACGTCCGCGATATATAGTTATTGTCGATAAAAGCTTGCTTGCTTGTTATTCCGGCATTTGCAAATTTTATTGAATGAGATTACCTTAATTCTGCCAATCAATTTCCGCATGTTAATTGGCAGTCTATATTTATTCTACGTATATTCACGTAACAAGTTTTCTCTTCTGTAATATATTTTTGTATTTATTTAGATGCGTTATTTTTTTCATCTTGTATCTTGCATATGCATTTTGATTCTTCATTGCGAATTAATATAGATAGATGTCTATAGACTACGGTATCCACTTACCATCAGATGGACTGAGATGACTGAGTGCTCGTTTGTCTCCATTATTCTATATAAAATGTTGTCTCCGACTTGCATGAATGAGGACTTCAATTATCTACCCACACAGTCGATCACAAGTTCACAAGTAATGTCATTGCTTGCCATTAGAAGATACTCGATAAACGTGAGCTCTGCTAGTATTTACCGACCCGTAGTAATTTTTCACCGAAATTCGTGATCACTTTTGAACCGCTTCGCAACGCGTAGCCGAACTAACGCCATCGTTACCTGTCACGTTGCGCGAGAGCCGTGCGTCAAATGTCCTCAACTTGAGCAATAGCTCGTGCGATCGATGCACTTGTACCTTTTCAGCACTTTAATTGGATAATAATGTGAATTTGATAAAAAAAAAATTAAAAGTAATTTCTTATCACCGTTTTCATACTTTACGTTTGCATCGATTTAGGAAAAGCTAAATATAATAAATGTTTACCTCGCTCTGGGGTTGAAAACGCCTCTATTAAAAGTTTAAAACATAATCATTTTATCATCGTTTTCATACTTTAGTAGTTTCACCTTTGATAAAAATTATATTGGAATAAAAAATGAAATGTTATATTTTGTGGATATTTCCATATTCTCACGAAGGAAAGAGAAGAAAAGAAATGGCGCCCCATGGGCGGGGTTGTCACTTACCATCAGGTGAGCCATATGCTCGTTTGCCCCCTCTTATTAAAAAAAAAACGATAGCGTCTTCTTGATGGTTTCCTTTACCGTCGAACACGTGGTAAACTAGTTATATAAGTTGTAACTAACAATTTCATTATT